AAAAACATCTTCCATTGGAGAACCGGATTTTCTAGAGGCATTTCACATTCATAAAAATCTTTCTGTTCTAGTTAACGATCCTAATTCCAATCCAAATTTGCCTTCGGCCTTTAAAGAAATTATGTTTTAGTTCTGGTTTTACCAACAGATGGCGCCACTTGCTTATTCTTGTCCAGGCTTTCTTATCTTATCTAATCATTACTTCCTATCTTGTTCATTTGCGGTTTTGCAGCTGAAGATGGTGGTTCGGTAAAACCATCGAAACTAGTCCTGTGAAAATTTTGTAAATATAACGCTGATTTTTGTTGTTTGACTTCTGAATTAGCAAAGAACTTTATTTCTATTCTTAATAAATGCATTTGAAGAAAAAGACAAGAGTCTTCCTTTGAATAATTGCTTAGAATATCAGATCTTATTTCCTATGATCGCGCTTCGGAAAACATCAATTTATGACAGTCAAGTTATTCAAAAGGATTCAAAAGGATAATTTCCTAAAAATATGTATAACACGGAACTTTCTCACTTTCATAATTACTTTTAAATATTGTATATCGCATATCCATGCGATAAGTAGTAATTGGCAGACAGATTTCAGATGCAGTAGAATTTCATTTATCCGAACTAATCCGCAACAAGAATTTTGGGTAGCATTTTTTGGTTGTTTGTTTGTTTCGAGACAGAGAGACTCGTTGTAATTAATTTAGACAATTAAAGAAAGGAACATGAAGGAAAAGTATGTATTGCATTTACACCTGAAGGAGTCATTTCGGATAACATTTGTTTTCCGAATAACCCATGGCGGCTGCCTTCGGCTATTAAAGAAAAAAAATAAGTGCGTATAAAAATGTGGAGATAAAATATAAATTATATTCCAGTTTTACTTTCTGTATTACAATACAGAAAGTAAACAAAGAAATGAGCTATTTTAGATACAAAGAAATGAGCTATTTCGGATATAAAGAAAAAAGAATATAAAGAAATGAGCTATTTTAGATACAAAGAAATGAGCTATTTCGGATATAAAGAAAAAAGAATATAAAGAAATGAGCTATTTTGGATACAAAGAAGAAATAATACGAAGAAATGAGCTATTTGAGATTCAGTTTTGGTTTCGGATGATCCGTGGAAAGGATATGTTGTTGTTGTGACTTATATCACGTCGCCCAGATGGTCTCTCAGTAGCATCAGATTAAACCCACGAAATTCTTCGTGGTAAAGAATGCAAGAGTGAGCTTCGACACTATACAGGTGACAGTGCTCAGTTTCGCCCCCAATTTTCATGGAGAGCTCCCCGGGGATGGATGGGTCTAAGAGTCTCCCACGCCTCTTCCCATACCAAAAACCTCTCGAGAACCCTTTCGGCTGGATACATATTTAGATGAGAGTCCCATGCCGCACAGACACTATACCCAATATTTACAAACATTTACAAACATCCATGCCTTCTCTCGGATTCGAACCTGGGGCCTGCGGTAAGGCAGTCAGCGTCGCTAACCACTATCCCGGTTGGGCGGCATGGTAAGGATACTTTTTGTCTTATAATAATGAAGTGCTCAAAACAACATAGAGCAAATGTCTGTATGTATTACATAGCATTTTACAATTTTATTGCATAAGACAATGGATGGTATTTTGAATTTTCATGAAGTTTTTTTATCGGCATTTGAATTGTAGGAGGTTTTATACTATGTTGTGATCAGATAGGCTAAAGTGGTTTTCATTAAAAATGCAGATGACTCATTTCTTGCTTTAATTTTTCGACAATTTTTTAGATTATTTTCAACAAATTTTGCGTAAAGCAATTTCTACTCTAGAACTTTTCAATTGCACTTAAATCATATAAGAAACCATTTGCATCGGCAATAAAAAAAAATATTTCAAATTTTTCTTAAAGCAATTATTATTTTAAATTTTCTGAATACACCACCTATTATTGAAGCTAGAAAAACAGCATGGTGAAATATTTATGGATTAAGTTTACGACTATTTAAAAAGAAAATGAATCACCATATATAAACATGAAATTAAAAATAACTAATAAAATGCTATAAATAAGTAATGCTATAAAATAAATGCTATAAATTTTCAGCACTCGAATTTTTTCCTGAAATATTCTACATCAGTAGTTTCCAGACTGTTCGTCGTGACCCATTAGCGAGTCGCGAAGAGCATAGAAGTTCTCTTTTTCTCATTACATAATTTTATACATTTACTTGTAAAAATAAATTAATTTATAATTTTCAATCAATTGTTAATATTAGCCCCTGTTTCTTTATCATTACATCATTATTACATTATTTTCTTCCCCAATTTTTTCTCAGAGCAGCTACATGCATGCAAGTTGCGATTTTTTCTCAAACGCGCGTATATGATCTACGAGGCTAAAACATATGAAAAATATGGATTTTTATCAATAATTTGCCACTGAAAAATTCTTCACAAAATGGAAAAGGATTCCTTTGTGATATTCCCCCAAAATGATACATAATTTGCAAGAAACTAACAGTTCCGTTTTTAGTGTATTAAAGGCGGAAAAATACTTCTATTCAAAAAAAAAAAAAAAAACTTACAATTTGAAAATTTTAGACTGCAATTTAACATCCTAGAGAAGAATTTACGTTAAAAAGTTAAGAAAAAATTTTTAATGGAAAAAAAAAAAAAATCTGAAAGCTTTTAGATTTATTATTACGCCCAAAGGGGATCTTTTTTTACCGCTTTATGTGTTATCTTTATTTATTAAATATCATGCTCTTCACACTTAAACAATGAAATTCAATTGAACAGCAGTATCACAAAAAATTCAAAAGATCGTATCTTTAGAATTTCCGATACACAGTCTCGCCACACTGGAGATAATTTTTTTCTTCCTTTAGAGTGTTGCCATTGCTCGCTTTAAAATCGTTCAATTTCTTAATCAAAAACTCATAAATGCTGTATAAAATATGAAACAGATAATAAAACAAATTCCAAATATGGACTTCCAAATGCCCATATTCGTGTGGAGATGTACGTTATTCAAAATTGGATGGTTCTAGGTACCGTTGTTTTATCACAATGCTAGAAACATACATACATTTATGCAGATTCTTCATATTTAATTTTTTAAATATAATACAGGGAGATAATATTTGGTGGCAACAATTTAAAAGTGATTCGCCGTTTACAGTGAATCGACGCAAAATGACAGAACGAAATGAATAGCCCTTCTGGGCTAACGCCCTTTGAGCTAAAAATTTTAAAATGTCACCGCAAATATTTCTATCTCTTTTTTAATTAAAATAATATATACTGTTGCCAATTTAAGAGAGTAAATCTATACTTCTGAAAAAAAAAAAAAAAAAAAAAAAAAAGAAACTCAGTAGAAAAATAATTTTAATTTTAAAAGCTTCGTCTATTTCTACATTTCGTTGTTAAGCGTAACATGACATAAACCGATATAATATCAAAATATATTGCACTTTGAAAAAAAAATTAAAACAGGAATATAGAGGTTACTAATTTTTATGTTGTTAAAAGATTTCATCATAATCACTTATTCCGGACGGAGAAAATAGTTTAATACACAAGAAATAGAATTAAAAGTTTTAGATCGACAAAGTATACTTTATTTGTTGTTGAACTGCGCACAGGTTGCTAAAAACCTAGGTTAATGACTTTCAGTATGTAAAATTACTAAAAATAATATATACCGTTATTAAGCATTATTAAGAAGTGAGACAACTTTCTAAATAATTAACTTACCACTAGATTGAACAAAGCACTTTTACAAGAAGGAAAAGAAATGAAATTTCTTCTACATTTTTTATCAACAACAGCGTAAATTCATCTTGGATACAATTTTACAGCAAAATGAAAACAAGGAATATTTCAGAGAAGTTTCTGTTCAAAACGTTTAAGGAACTATAAATATTTCTCATTTATCTTTCTGGTTAAGCTTTTTGTCCACTGTATCACGTGAATCAAGTCTGGTTAAATAAAACTTAGTTCAAGAGATTTTAATAATTTGGTAAGTGGATATTTTTTGGTCATTATTCTCTGAATAGAATATATTCATTTAATTTAGTAAATAGCATGCCATTGACGTAATAAAAGCATAGTAAGGAATATGAGGACTCTCTTAGCCTCCTTTTTCTATATTTAAATATGGTTTATTCGAAAAACTTAACTGAAAATGTTTGAATGTCAAATAAAAAATATAATACGTCGCATTAAAATGAATGGATTGTACGATTATGGCCGAAAAACTTTTCAGTGTGAGGTTATGAAGCATAAAACGCGTACAAATTTTCCTTTCAAAAGGTATAATCTTTTTCAGCATTTTTATGCGTGAATCAGTATTTATTACTTAAAATTTAAGTTTATTTGCGCAAAAGAATTCTTCCTCTTCAAACTGAGGTCAGTTGCCATTTGCTTTGAAATCGGTGCAGAGATCGAAAAGTCAGATTAAATTTAAATTCTTTTCTCTACTATAAAGCATTTTCAAATTGCATTGCATTTTTAGAAAATTTTCAGGTTGTTTGTATACGATCGCAGTCATTTTCTTTCGAAAGGAAGTATGGGGCTAGGCGTCATCAGAATTTCTTCCCTGATGAGGCGGCCAGCTACATTCGATTTAGAAGAGGAATAAATCTCATTGCTCTAACAGAAAATATGAAAAGGCATATAGAGTTTACAAAAAAATTAATTCTCCAAACAGCGTTTAAATATTTATAATAATTTTACAATAAACTTGCATTATTGTATCTGAACAACTACAGATACGCATTTTCCAACAGCGATTCTTCACGATCCTGCTCAGTTAAACATGAGATAGGACTACCTTAAAACTTTATAATAAAAAATTGGAGGTTTCAGAGTGGTTACCAAATAGAACAAAAGATTGTATTGACAACGATAAACGCTTTTATTGTAAATAATTAAGAAAGTAAAGTTGAAGAATGGGACATGAATTGCAGAACTAAGGAGGTTTGGGGAATTATGAATCATGAGGATTGACTTACCTAGACCTGGAGGACTTTTTCCTTCTAGGATTAAAGTTCTGTTGATTAGCCATCGAGAAAGCTAATAGTTCTCCAGTCTGTTCATAAGGCAGGTAACACAAGGATCCGACGAAGGGGATGCCGATTGGACTGCCCACTTGGATTTCAGATCCAAGTTTCCGATTCAGAGTTTCAGAGATGTCTGATGAAGAGTCCGTAGCCATGGAATCCTCAGGAGACATGTGGGCCCCGATACTGTTTTCGTTGTCTGATTCTTGAGGCAACACTTTCATTGATATTTCCAGATTTATTCCAATACAAAGACACTTTTATAGCAAGTTTATAGAATGTACCACAAGCTTATAGAATGCTAAGTAGGGCTGTAGTGCTAGAAAGAATTCGAAGGAAGTCAACACCTAACTCACGCATGTTTGTTTTTCCACCTATATATATGTAAATTTCGTGTAATATTTTTCGTAAACTTTTTCACTACTAAATTAGTTCGAATTTTTCTGCTAGATCATGAAAAATACTGTTCAAATTTTCTTAATATATGTATAGAGAAAGCTTCATCATCTCTTATCTATAAAGCGTACTTTATATTTAAATTAATTTTTCACGTTTCAATAAAGAATTAACTTCTTAATTTCGCAGAATAAAAATAACATTTTTCCCTTCAACAGTATTTTAAAAGAAGCTGCAGTATATTGCTGCTTATGAAGTTCACTCGTTTTCATAGATTTAAGAAACTTTAAATATCTATAACATTTTAGTGATTACTTAGTGTATGAAACTACGCTATGAGATTCTTGTATTCGAATACCTTATACAGCGTTGCTACTCAGTGAAGTATTAACAGCGTGAAAATTATTAACCAAGAAGAAGAGTACAAAGAAATATCTCTCTATCAACAGACATTCACTACTTTCAGTTATGGCTGAGTATGACATTTTATTGCGGTTGAAAGCGAAATACGGCGGGATTTTTCTCCTCTGGAATTGAGGGATACGGAAAAGCCAATCACAGCGGCTGCTGTCCCGGGAGGGTTGTTTAACCAGCCAATAGCAAAAGAGAATTGAAGGCCCAAAACTGCACCTGCTTTTTGATTTTTTGTTCCCCTAAAAGTTTTTAATTGCCTTTTTAAGATTTCTGAAGAGAAAGGATGAAACGCTTTTTTTTTTATTCCTTCTAAGGAATTATTAAATTTTAGTTTTCTAAGAAATTATGAAACTTTTAATGATGATATTTTGAAAAGATATTCTAATCGAGCTTTTGTACCATCTCTGTCGCACTTTTGCGGATACACGATAGCGTTATATTCCATTATTAATTAACAGATGCTAAAGATAAGGCAGAGCTTCTCAGACTTCCCAGGCAGTGCGATTCCATTGAAGAATAATATGGACATCTTATTTCTATACAAAAATAAAAACAAAAGCTTGAAAATTATGATTATTAAATGCGCTTGTGTAGAATGCTTAAAAGTGCTCAAGTAACCTTAGTTTAATGCCGATTTTGAATGAAACTTTTGTTTCCGAAAGAAAACCTTTTTGCTTCTGAAAAAGAGGAACTTGTCGATCGTCCTCTAAATCTATAGAGTTTTATTTAAAATTGACGAAAACTAAGATTGCATTTTTGCTTAATTTAAAATATTACACCGGCGTATTTCTCTTCCATTTGATATGGAATGTACTGAAGAAGATTTGTATTCTCTTAAACGTTTACTTGGCAAAGCTTATGCTTGCAAATATTTATATGAATCGAATCCTTCTTATCTTATGAAATAATGAGAGATTTATTTTGCTTTAAATGTTTTCTAATTAAGAAAAAATCGAAATCGAATTGCAGAAACTAAATTTAAGAATACATTGTTTAAAACAAAAAATAATACATGCTATACAAATGATATTTAATACAGGAAGTTTGTAATTAAGTCTCAAATTATTTTAAATGTATTTTTCATTAAACGCAGATTTCAAATTTTGCTATAATTAAAAATTTTAATATTAAGTAAAAGTTTTTTTTTTCTTATTTTTACATTAATACGAGGGATTCGTGAGATTAAAGAACCTTTTTGAATTCAGATTCAACAAAATTTAGGATTCGGTCTACATCTGTTTTTGAACATTAAATGGAAAATGTAAAGGCAGAAACTTATGGTAAATCAGTCAGAGCTCAGTTAAGCCAGTTGGGGGTGAGGAGAGGCTCTGGCTGTAAAATTGTAAAATTATTTATGGTGCCTGTAAGAAAGTATTTCAGTCCTGTATTCTTGAAACGTAAATACTGCTGAAGCGAAGTAAATAATTAAGTACACATAATTACTTAATATTAGTAATGTTTTAATAAAACTTTGATTTAATACTTCTAAATATTCTTATATAGTTTCATCTACATATAAAGACTAAAGTATATATAAAGATAAAATCAAATATATAAAAATTAAAATTATCCAAAAGATTAAAATTATCAAAAAAAAAAAAAAAAAAAAAAAAAAAAAAACCCATTAAATTTTCTATGGAAAAGAAAAGTAAAATGCAAGTCTCATGCTTTCAAAATCAGCCAAAATTTATGGCGATGCTACTTAATGTAACAGTTAATTCAAAATTTAAAACTTGGCTTAGCAGTTGACTATACAATTTAACTTTCAATTTGCTCAGAACTTCTCACCGGTGTAACAATTAAATGTAACGCAAATCCGAAGAATTACAGTCTTATCAGAGCTGGCGAATCCTAGTAGTGGTCTCAAGAGGAAGAAACATGCTCTGCCTCTGGTGAGGAAACAGAAAAGCAGAAGCTATAGTAAAGGTCTAAATCATAATAGCTGGTTATTTAAAATAATAATAACTTTATAATTTATTTTCTCTTTAAAAAATTACATTCGCTCTTACTATTTAATAAAACAAAGCTCTCTTTCTGGAAAGGTAATTAGACAAAAAAGGAATACATAAACTGCTATTACCAAATAGTTTTCCACAAATTCTATAGGTCTTGAAAGACCTTCTACAACTCAAAATTGAAATATTTTCATTTTCTTTTATATTTAATAGCTGAAGTAAAATTTTAGTCGAGCTGCTTTTTCTTGGATGCATGCAATGTGTACTAAAATATCTCTATAGTTCAGAATTAACACATCTTGCATTCGAACTAATATATATTAGCACACTTGTTTTCCCAAAAGTGCTAGGAAACGATCTGCGAAAGTGATTGGTTACAGTGCTAATAGACGAGATAAAATACAAATGGCGGCTTATACCATATTTATTAAAAAAGATGGTGTTTCTTGTAATTTTAACACTACAAGTAATTAAAGTTCTAATACTGTAACTATAATTTAACAGAACTGAATCCATGTCATTTAGTTTTTGACCGAGGCATGTAAAGATGATTATATCTATACACGATCGGCAATTAAAATTACTACACTAGATATAGGTACTAGTAGAAGTGGGCAGGTGACCAAAATTTCACCATTGGTCAAACGGATATAGACCTTCAGCACTAACTGTGCAGTATCTCCCTAATTTTGAGGTAAACCATTTGGGGAGGGGCAATCCGAGAGTCCTCGACCCCTCTTTCCACACCACCAATCTCTGGAGAGGACTTTAAACTAGCCCTGCATTTTGCATCTCGCCTTGCTGAACAGACACTATACACTTACTAACATCCATGCCTTCTTTGACATTCTGTACGACAGTCTCTGGGCCCTTCGGTACGACAGTCTGCGTCACTCATTACTGTATCGTCTGGGCGGCAAATTGCTACATCATGAAGGCAGCATGCATAAAATGTCAAATTTACGTGAAATATACTGCATGCTGGGATATACAAATGATTAGCACTCCTGCGCACGCGTAGAAGTGTTAATGGTGTTATAAAAATGAGTGAGTTCTTTTATTGCTTTATGGCTCATCGATAGTTGTCAAATAAAGGTTGTCGACGAGGCTGCCGAACGCGTAAGAAGCTCTTCATAGCTGCAACTTCGTAATATTTGAAACTGACTCGCATTTCATAGAAAAGGAACAGATTAAACACATCAATGGTAGTAATCTTCTGTAATGGATCACTTCCATAGGAGTACACAATTTTAGAAACCACAGGTGGTCGTTTTCGGGACATTACAGTACATAATTTCTTCTAAGAATAGTTTTGTTTTTATTTGATCACGACAAAGCATGCTGGGCCTACCTGCCTAAGCAGAGGCATGTCTTTGCGGAAGACTTTCTACAGGAAACTGTCTCGCTTCTGCATTACACATGAGGCAAACCACGAAACTCCGATGGAGCTATCCCATTTTCTTAGAGTCGAAGTCAGGCGAAACTACCAGGATTCAGCGACTTCCTCGCTCGGCTGCCGGTGAGCTCCTTCTGAAAGCAGAAACATCTAAGTAGATAGTAGATAGGAGAATGAGACTAAATTAAAAATAATGTTTTCTTTTTTCGATTCGTTATTTTTAAGTAAAATAGACTGATGAATATGTTATAAAATTAAGCTACAGCAAAATTTCAGAGAAAATAACAAATGCGAAACACAAAAATAGAACACCAAACTAAACGGAACAAGACTCAGCATGTGATTAAAGCAAAACGAAGACAAAAGCCATGGTTGTAACAGAAGGGCATATATTTATTGGCGAACTATCACTTTTCTTCGGGGCCAGGGGAAGTTTGAGTTAGCGGTTAATAAGTATGTACCAATTTCTTTTTACGTATATAATGTATTCGACAAAAATCGCCGAATGTGTTAAAATAATTATTGATGGAAAAAATTGACTTTATTTCAATTCTATCTTAAACAGTATACTTCTTTTTTCGATTTTTCCTAGTGATATCGTCTTCATTTTTTTTTTAAATTAAAACATTTTCATGCTTTACCTCTTACATTAATTATAAAATAAACTGCAGCTATTCGAAAAAAGAATATGGAAAATTTTTTTCAATATGCAATTTTTTCTGTCATTAAATATTTTAGATATTACTAGCGGGCAAACCCGCCAGCTGAGCAGGCTGCGCCCGCTTTATTCCTGTATGGATCCACAAGATACTGCATACGCTTTACACATGCGGAATATCACGAAAACACCTATGCAGCCAGCCCGTTTGCGGGATTCGAAAGTTGAACCGAAATACCAGGCAAAATTTTCTTCAATATGCAATTTTTTCTCCCATTTAAATATTTTAGATATTATATTAATCAACAAGAAACCAGAAACGGATAAACAGTTCTGAAAACATGCCTAAAAGGTAAATCTATTCTTCTAATTAAGTGTATCCTACAACAATTAGAAAACGATATTTTCCCACATCTCATTAAATGAAATTATAAATACGCGTTCTTGAATAGTGGATGCTTTTCCATAAAGTTACATTTGGGCAAATCTAAGTTATCTGGCAGGTATGAAAGAAGATCGCGCTAACAGTGGTCGAGCAGTAAAATGTAATTAAAGATTTCTTTATATCATATGAAAGCATTTAATTTCTCAGAATTCTCCCAATATATGTCAAATGAAAAATTTTGTAAGGAAATGGGAAAAATGATCAATTTTTATGTTAATTAATTTGAAGCTCTTAGTGCAGATCTCTGGTCTTTCGGATATTAGCAAACATAACAGATAAGATTTTTTCCTGAGAGTAGTTTTTCTCATTGAGAATATGTACAACTCAAACGACAGGGAGGCTCACGACCTGGCTTCAATGGCCTTACGGAATTGAATATTCCGTAAGGCCCCACCCCGCGCATCTTAACAATCTACCATGTTGCGACCCCACAGAGCAAGGGCAGACAAGGCAGTACCAGTACGGTCCCTGCCGAGCCTTACTCTGTCCCGAGAGCCTTCAGGCCTTCTGTGAAGACAGTTATTATACCTCCGTGGTTGAGACTGCCTAGGTACAGATCCTAACCAGTACTTCCCAGGCATTCGCCTGAGTCAACCCCCGGGGGGATGAGAATATGTACAGACAAGGGGATTTT